CCAAAAGAGCTCGAAGGCAAGGCAAGGCGAAGGCTAAAGAAGAGAAGTGTTGGTGCAAGCCTTGTTCCAGGAAAAGGCGAGTTCGCAAGATGGAGATTCGAAGGCGGGGTATGAGTAGAATGGAGGATGGTTGGATTTGGAGAGCTAGTGACTGTATTGGGTTGGATGGATGGGATCCATGGCCGTCGGGAGAGCTTAAGGGATCGGGCGAGCACTTGGAGTCGGTCTGCGACAAGGGTGCGAGCACGAGCGAAGAACGCGCATCGTGCCATGATGCGCGTGATAAGGTGGGACACACAGCGTCGAGTGCACGCGTGTGCGGAAGAGAGGATTGGAGCACGACAGTTGACTGGGACGCGTTGGCCTTCGGCAGCAAAGTGACGGGAAACACGGGGTGCGCGAAGGGAGCACACGCGGATGGAGGCCTAGGCCTAGGGGGCCTAGGAAAGGCGGCAGCGCACGCGTACGAGGAAGCCGGCAAGGGTGCGGGGCTCGCGGGCAGCAGCGAGTGGACGTACGGGAGCGAAGGCCTATGCCGTGTAGGCTTAGGCGAGACGGGCGATGCGCTGGCAGGTGCGGACCGCAACCACGTAGGCAAGGGAATCCTAGGCGCGGCAAGATTAGGCGACGTAGGGGGGCTGGGCACGCACGCGCGAGGTTGAGTCGGTGGACGGGACGCGCGCGCGAAGGACGCTGCGTGGGAGTCAAGCGCGCGGGTTACCATGCGCCAAGAGGAGTAGAAAAGGGTGAGGCGGCGCGCGCAAGCTGGCGGACGCGCGCGACGCGTATGGAAGGCGGCCGAGACTTGGAGACTTGGAGCATTCTAGAATTGCTTGGTGTGCAAGCCAAGCAATAGTTATTTGGTAGTAGTAGGTTTTTATTGCTTTCTAGTGTTAGGATTTCTATTATTGCATGATTTAGGAGATCTAGTATAGTTAGGCTTAGATTTATTTTGCAACTATAAATACCCCATGTACCTCATCATAATGTTGAGTCTTGAATTGAGTATTGAATTGGTGAGCCAATTGAGGGGAACTTATGTTCCTACGTGTGTTTAAACAAGATCGTTAGTGCGTGTTTACATACAGTGTCGGAGAGAAGGCCATTAGAGCGTCTTGAAGTCACAGTGTCTAGGAGAAGGCCGATAGTGCGTCTGTTAGATACACCTATCGTGGATAAACGAAGGCCCTAGTGCGCGTTTATTCACAACCCACGTATAGATAACAACACGATCCTTCATCATTGGTGCTTTCATTGAGAGGTGCTGATCGTGTGTTTATCTATCCTATCTTTTTCTTTATTTTTTCGGTTTGCCTTTTGCTGAGGGGCCGAATTTCTTTTCTTTTTTTCGTTCGAAATTTTTGAATTTATTCGAATTTTTCAATTTTTCGTGTCTTAAAAAAGAAAAAAAAAAGTGTCATCTTGTTAGTCCTTTGTTTAATTTTTTCGGTTATTACCTTTTGTTGAGGGGCCGAATTTCTCTTTGTTTTATTTTTATTTTTGTTCGAATATTTGTTCGAATTTTTTTAGAGTAAAAAAAATAAAAAATAAAAAATATGTCTTACCCACCATTGGACGAGTTAGATTGGGAAGATCTTGAGATGTTGGAAGGTTTGGAAAGAGAGCTCACACCATGGGAAGCAACATATCTTGATGAGCTTCATGAGCGAAGGAATATTGAAGAGTACGAGCGTCAACTCATGGAGGCTCGAGGAGCGATGGTGATCGATGCTCATGACCATGAAGATGAAGGAGAGCTGAATTTTCTGATCCTTGAGGACAAGGAAAGTCTTGAAGAGGAGGCGAATGATACGGAAGTGGTCATCAACCCAGGCGAGTCGGAGGACGAAGGTGGCGATGGTCTCGATATTTGGCTAGAAAATATGTTGGAGGAGCCATCTAGTCCTATTTACCGGCCATCATGTGTGAGGGATTGGCCAAAAGGATGTGGTCCACGAGCTAAACTTAAGCCTAGGAGACACAAGACCAAAAGAGCTCGAAGGCAAGGCAAGGCGAAGGCTAAAGAAGAGAAGTGTTGGTGCAAGCCTTGTTCCAGGAAAAGGCGAGTTCGCAAGATGGATATTCGAAGGCGGGGTATGAGTAGAATAGAGGATGGTTGGATTTGGAGAGCTGGTGACTGTATTGGGTTGGATGGATGGGATCCATGGCCGTCGGGAGAGCTTAAGGGATCGGGCGAGCAGTTGGAGTCGGTCGACGACAAGGGTGCGAGCACGAGCGAAGAACGCGCATCGTGCCATGATGCACGTGATAAGGTGGGACACACAGCGTCGAGTGCACGCGGGTGCGGAGGAGAGGATTGGAGCACGGCAGTTGACTGGGATGCATTGGCCTTCGGCAGCAAAGTGACGGGAAACACGGGGTGCGTGAAGGGAGCACACGCGGATGGAGGCCTAGGCCTAGGGGGCCTAGGAAAGGCGGCAGCGCACGCGTACGAGGAAGCCGGCAAGGGTACGGGGCTCGCGGGCAGCAGCGAGTGGACGTACGCGAGCGAATGCCTAAGCCGTGTAGGCTTAGGCGAGACGGGCGATGCGCTGGCAGGTACGGACCGCAACCGCATAGGCAAGGGAGTCCTAGGCGCGGCAGGATTAGGCGACGCAGGGGCGCTGGGCACGCACGCGCGAGGTTGAGTCGGTGGACGGGGCGCGCGCGCGAAGGACGCTGCGTGGGTGTCAAGCGCGCGGGTTACCACGCGCCAAGAGGAGTAGGAAAGGGTGAGGCGGTGCGCGCAAGCTGGCGGACGCGCGCGACGCGTATGGAAGGCGGCCGAGATTTGGAGACTTGGAGCATTCTAGAATTGCTTGGTGTGCAAGCCAAGCAATAGTTATTTGGTAGTAGTAGGATTTTATTGCTTTCTAGTGTTAGGATTTCTATTATTGCAAGATTTAGGAGATCTAGTATAGTTAGGCTTAGATTTATTTTGCAACTATAAATACCCCATGTACCTCATCATAATGTTGAGTCTTGAATTGAGTATTGAATTGGTGAGCCAATTGAGGGGAACTTATGTTCCTATGTGTGTTTAAACAAGGTCGTTAGTGCGTGTTTACATATAGTGTCGGAGAGAAGGCCATTAGAGCGTCTTGAAGTCACAGTGTCTAGGAGAAGGCCGATAGTGCGTCTGTTAGATACACCTATCATGGATAAACGAAGGCCCTCGTGCGCGTTTATTCACAACCCACGTATAGATAACAACACGATCCTTCATCATTGGTGCTTTCATTGAGAGGTGCTGATCGTGTGTTTATCTATCCTATCTTTTTCTTTTTTTTTTCGGTTTGCCTTTTGCTGAGGGGCCGAATTTCTTTTCTTTTTCTCGTTCGAAATTTTTGAATTTATTCGAATTTTTCAATTTCTCGTGTCTTAAAGAAGAAAAAAAAAGTGTCATCTTGTAGACGCTTGTGAGCCATTACCACCGTACATTAGCCTCGCCATCTAGATAGTATCTCGATCATGGCCATCGGTGTCATTGAGATCAAAGTATTGAACAACACGGTTGAGCCAAGCCTCCAGATCGATGCCGTTGAACGTGGACAGCATGAGTCGCGGTTTGTCGGGCCTTGGCCGATCTCGGTAGTTGGACGCTTGAGACCGCTGATCGAAGTCCTCCTCTCGCTCAAATTCGCCGCGTCGCCACTCCCCGTCGGGCTGGTCGTG